GGTGAGGACAACCGTAGTCGCGTTTCTGACAAAAACAAGCACTTCCACTACCAATAAACAGCACTTGAGGGGCAGGGATACCCTGGCAGATTCAGGGGGCCTGGGACTCAAATGAGGCCCTTGATTATGTAAAATTATATATAAAATTGGGTGGGGGGCCCAAGCTTAAATTTTGTCAGGGAGCCCAGAATTTCTGCGTACAAATTTCAGGTCCAGAAAGTAAAAATCCAGATCAAGATTTTGTTTTAACCAACCAGTGGAGTATTCTGTGACTGTAGCTCTTTACACCCAACTGGTTGATTGAAACAAAGTCTTGGTCTGGATTTGTATACTCTGCCCTTGACTGTTATTTAAATTGACTGATTTCGTGCCTGCCCTGCATAAACACTCCAGCTTACCACTGTAAGTGTGTGGACCCTTGGCTGACCAAGACGAAGAAGACGTGTCCCGTATGCAAGCAGAAGGTGGTGCCGTCCCAGGGAGACTCGGAGTCCGACTCGGACGAGGGCGACAGCAGCCGTGACGACGACGACGAGGCCTCTGAGAACACGCCCCTGCTGCGGTCGCTGGCCTCCACCAGCACCCAGTCCTTCGGCACCATGTCGGCCTCGCTCTCCTACCACGAGCGGGACCTGGAGTCGTCCGAGTACGAGGAGGATGACGACGACGAGATGGACAGTAGCGGCAGTGAGGAGGTCACCGTGGAAACTGTGGTGGTTCAGCTGCAGCAGTCTCGGCACGGGCAGGGGGATCCCACTGTCTGACCCCGAAGAAAATCTGCCATCGACTTTAGTGATGTCAAGTAGGATTCCGATATCCATGCTACAATCAGTATTTTGTTTTGCAAATCACAATTTGTGCACATCACAGCAACAACAACAAACAGAGGATCCAGTGTAATAGTAACAATTTCTTTCCCAGGAATTTCTGTAATTTGAAGTATATGGTTACCAAAGATGGTCATTTCTGTAGGAACCTAAAGAGAGTTGCATTGCACATAACAGAAGAATATACTTCAGCTGTCTTGTACGAACTGCTTTTTATATGCTGTAAATTTGATGAGCTTTTATCTTCACTGTGAAAGGAAAGTCACGTAACACTGTGTGCTTTAAAAGCACAGACCTTTCCTAACACTTGTCATGAATCATGAAGGATCACAATGTGTACATATAATGTATAGAATTATACAAGAGACAGAATTACAAAGCAACTTTTTCAAAGCGATCGATAACTTTGTAGCCTGTAAATGTGAAAGCCTCTGCATCAGAAGGTAGGGATGTTTTAGAGAAACGTAAAAAAAAACTATTAACTCAATGAATAAAGTCTTAATGTACTATGCAGTGTTATTTTGTAAACTTCAATGTTTCTAATGTAAAGCAGTTTTAAAAGTTGGCATTATGAGGACGCTTATGTAAATTTCTGTGTTGTACGACGTGAGATCAGATAGCCATTAATAGATCAATATTGTACTTTGACGCTGGCAAATGCTGTGGACCACTCGTGTAAGTCCAGCCAGTTAAGACACGCTGTGTTTCCATTTGAGCGTACTTCCTTTCTGAAGAGAAATGGGCAGACGTCATGAAGTTTATACCCACCACACTTTTTAAGTTATTTTTATTAGTGGGTCACCCTCTCGCCTCAAGATGTCACCGTCAGCAGGAATGTGCATTTGACACATCTCCGCTTTGTATGTAGTTTGCCAACTGGAAAATTCTCATCGACTTTTATATAAAGATTATGCATGTGTAATGTATTGGTATGCTTAACTCCATATGCATTAAAGTCACATTTTCACTTGAAATCCTGTTGATATTTTTTAACTTTAGCCAAATAGACAGACTGAGGTAAAACCTTGTAATGTGTATTTTAATGAATTGTGATCAAAATACTACTGTAGAATATATCCGTGTAACAAGTGGTCAGCTACTATGAAACAGATACACCAACACTTTTTTGCGTATGAAATTTAAATGCAATGATATGAAATGGATTTTGGGTGTCTTAAGATATCCTGGTTAATACAGATTTAAAATGATCATTGATAAGTGGTTGGGTTGGTGTCTGACGGTGACCGAATTGCATGACTGTACACAATAGCTTAGGTTTCATTGTGAAAATTCCATAAAAGCAATAACTGGAATCAAGGTATTATGCAACTACACTGTTGCAATAATATTTTAATTAGGCCTATGATCTTTTTTTTCCCCCCTCACAGATGCTCATTGGGGGCGATGGTGGTGCAGGAGGTAGTTCTACCATTCGGCAACCAGAGGGTTGCAGGTTCGAGCCCCGGGTCCTCCTGACCCCATCGAAGTGTCCTTGAGCAAGACACTGAACCCCAAATTGCTCCCAGTGTGCTGGTTGGCGCCTTGCATGGCAGTCTCCGCCACTGGTGTGTCGGTGTATGAATGTGAGGCATAGATTGTAAAGCGCTTTGATACTCGTAATAGTTAATAAAAAATAAAAAAATAAAAAAAAAAAGCGCTATATAAATGCAGTCCATTTACCATTCTATCCATTTACCATTATTACTGTAAGCCTACCTGTTCTCAGAGAACTTAAAACCCTGTGACGACTACCTATGCCCCATACAGACATTCCTAAGAAAGGCTAACAGTGGTGTATGATTTTAACAACTAAATAAGCTTTTTCAACTGCCTCCATTTTTCCCATATCGTATAATGGACTTTGTTATTTTGCATTCAGCTTTTCTGATTATTGTGGCAAGAGGCTTAACATAGCTAATGGAAGATGATTTCACTGCTATTTTCAAAGTCTTGGATCAGGGGGTTTTGTGTTTTCTGCTTTCGTTCAAGAATATGCATGTTTTGGATTTGAACAGACCCTACCACACTATATGCAGGTGTGATTCATGAGTGCTACGCATGCAGCCAAAGAAATTAGTACCCTATATTTTATAAAAACAATCACAACACTCTGTGAAATGTTGAAACTGGCAAGAGTAATCTGCATCCACCATTTAATCCATATTTCACAGAAGAGACTTTTGGCTTATGACATATCATTGTAAACAAACATACCAATAGTTTTGCCCGCATCAGAATGTGGTCGTACGTAGCTTGCCTTGCTGATGCAAGGTTTGTGCTTCTTTAAGGTGCCCATGTTCTCCGCTCACGGTGCTGATACAGGATTCTTAAAAGCAGCACTGAGTTCTGAACAGAAATCTTCAATGCCGGGTCACTTTACAGCCAGAACTTGAATCAACACATCTTAGTTCTGCAACATTCACAACGTCTCTCCCATTCCCCAGGTACTGTCGTGCAGGGTGCAGTTCTAAGCTGTGCTCATCTACCCACGGCCTGTACGAAACTGCACCACCCACGGTTACTCCCTTGACCCATCCCGGATAGTTTCATTTGGCACCCAGACTGGCCCACAAAGTAAATAAGGACTACTGGGAGGTAACCGTATCCACACACCAATCAAATGGGAATACCGTCATGTGCAGTGCGTTGCAGTGTATTGAGTCAACTTACTAGTTAAAATGCCAGATTTTTTTCTTGTCTACAACTGCTTTTGGTGACTCTCCACATTTTTATGAATATTCTGAATAAGCTAAACTTGTATGAGTCATTTTAAGGAATGTCCCAAAAGACTGACATATACTATGCAGAACAATGTGTGTTACCACTGGCTCATAACACCGTTTGACGTCAGAGTACAATGAGCATTTTAGGGAGGAAAGAATGCATTAAAAAAAAATTACAGTATTAACCTGTGGCTCTCACTCAAGAAATCTGAACTATTACCGCCGCATTTTTGAATTGATAAAATTAAAAGCAATTTTGTTACACAAGAGAAACCAAAAAGTGAACAAGGCAGACAGAAAGCAATAATTAAACAAGTCATAAATTTAATGGAATTAAATGCTTAATGAAATATTGCATTTGTTCTCTAACAATACTTAACACACAATGCATTTCCCACCGAGCATTAAGATTTCTGTCAAAGTTGATATTTGACTTGCAAAGCACCCTTTAAAGATACCTTTGAAAACACTTAAGTACATCTTTATAGAATTTTGGCTAAAATAATTTCTAGTACATTTAATGCAGAATAGTTAAAATTTTCATAAACACGAAAGTGCAAGACAAGGAATACGTACTGCTGATAAAATATGGGAGTTATTTTGCTGGTGCAGATGAAAATACATCCTACTGCTGTACAGTACATTTACATTTCTCTGGGAGGGAAAAAACTAGCATATAAAATTATTTCATCTCACACCAATGTATTTATCCGTTTTATAGACCAGAGATGAGACTGCACCCATAACTCTGCTTCTTTCAATAAGCCGGGCACATAAGTCATGTCAGGATATTCAAATACGTTTAAGGGATTTTCAAATTTATATGGAAACTTGAAACAATTTTGGGTGAAATGCGGACATGAACAGTCTAGAGCTTCACTCAGTACTGTAGAGTCAAGAACTGCCTGTCTCTCATGCGTAAACATAGCTATATGTTAATGCAGCGTGAAATGACAACTTTGTTTATTCGGTGACAATTGTGACTTCACCTCTGCCCACAATGAGGGAGTGCCTTCTGTCTTTTGTCATATAATACATAACAATTATAGTTTGTAGCGTGCCTTTTTGAAAATCACATACAGATCATGCATGATACAGCCAGACTGAATGAGTGATATAGCTGTAGTGCTTTGCTTAGATCAACACCCAACGGTTCCCACAGCCCTGAAATCATCTACTGGGGGTGGAGTCTATCCCAACTTTGGATGAGATGACCCCACCCCACCCAACAGACACACAATTTTAGAGACACTGATTAGCTTAACAATGAAAACCCCACAGGACATGGGAGGAACATGCACACTCCACAGAGCAGAGGCTGGCTTTAGACCCCCAGCCCTTTAGGTGTTGGGTAAGTACAGCCCGTAGCCCTCAGCTGCCTTACCTCAAACAACCACCAATTCCGCCATCTAGGAACGATCAGAGTTAGGAAATCAAAACACATCTGCAATTCATCTGGTTGGAATAAATTTATTTGATCTGTGTGTAAACAAGGGTCATATATCCCCCCCTCAATTTTATGGCATTTCTTATGCATATTAAATCTGATGTTCTACCGTATCCCAAATAAGAAAAAAAAGTTTAGGGAAAGAACATAAAAATCAGCAAGATTAGATGTAATTGGTACATACTCAACAAGGCCTTAACATTTTGAGCTCACACTCAAGTGCCATTTGATCTTATCTTTTTGGGCATAGGTTAAAATGCAATCCAAAACAGCAACAGACCATCTCTAAATTATGGCACGGGTGCACAGAATTTGTATAAATTTCCACAAAACAGCAAGGCTCTTTTTTCCAACCAACACCATTTCCCTGCAAGTGTAAGTGAATTGCTTCTCTTTTTTTTTTCTTCCTTTCTCTTTTTACACATTGGGCATGTTTAGTACCATGCTTTGACAGACATTTTAGTATCACAGATGAATAGAGCACAGAGCAATTTATTCCACAGTTCTCTCCACAGCAAGGGATTACAAGGTCAGATGCAATCGTTAATTAAAAAAAAATTACCGAAACAGTTGACAAAGTGAGGAGACTGCCGCTCCGTCAAACTAACGCTAAGTTCAGCAGCAAACATTACTGTCATTTCAATATCAGTTATTGTTTTGGAGTTAACCAACAAACAGCAGTCTTCCTTTTCAATGCTTAATGCCTTTGGGCAGTTGTTAACTCCCAAGTTGCAGCTAAAATTGGTCCTATGAAAAATGTTTAAATGGGATTCACTCCAGACGGTCATGTTGGGATATCTAGTGTCCAAAATGGCAGCCTTTAAAAAAAAAAAAAAAAAGTACAGGAGCTTGAGAAAATTACCTGCCTCTGCTAATGTAACAGTGGAATGTCCAGGGAGATCATACAGTCAGGGATATGGGAAAGAGGTTATTAGAGAAAAGTCTACCTGCAGCAACAATGATGTGCTTTTAGATGCAGAATACCACCAGAACTACATCCAGGTAATAGCCGAGAAAAAGAAAAATTGGTGCAGGATACGGCAAACTCAAATCAAATCGGAGCTTGCAAAACAACAACAAAAAAATATCGGATAGCTTACATTAGGGGCAAGCCACAATGTGATGGAGTGCCATGAATATAGTGTTCAAAATGAAGAAAAATTCTAAGGTAATAATGGAAAGATACTTAAGTTTTGGCAGGAGTTCAACAAATGAAAAACCAATAAAAGGTAGGACAGTGTTTCCCAACCTGGCCCTCGGAAACCCCTAGATCAGGGCTGTCCAATCCTGCTCCTGGGGATCTACCACCCTGCAGAGCTTAGGTACAGAACTAATTTAACACACCTAATACAGATAATCAGGGCCTTCAATTTATCTCAGTATTAGAGTCAGCTATGTTGAAGTTAAGCTGGTTCTCATACTGAGATTTAACTGAAGTGCCTGATTATCTGTATCAGGTGTGTTAAATTATGGCTGTACCTAAGCTCTGCAGGGTGGTAGATCTCAGGGGGAGGATTTGGCAGGCTTGCCTTAGACAGTTCACTATCTAGCATGGAGCAAAATCGTGAACTGACTGGGGGCCCACGAGGACCGGCATGGGGAACACTGAGCTAGACGATATGCATGCAGTTTCCCTCCCAGACATTCTCTAGAAAAGGAAGACAGTATGAGCTTCTAAATCGCTCAAAGTGCTCAAAAGGCCATTGGTCAATCCAAGGCTACTACCAGGCACCTTCATGTAGGCTCGTCAGTTAAATTCCTTCACTAGCTATTCACTAAGAGCCCTGTGTTTCGCTAAGTAGCGCCCAGACCTGTATCAGCTTTCGTTTTAAATAAAGTCATTGCATTATGATAATAGTGTGATATACTAAAGTGAAACGATGATGCCAAAGCAGGATTGGGTATACAGTGTAAATGCATACAAATTAAAGCAGTACTTGGGTAGGAGGTTAACAAAGGATGACAAAAACAAAGGGGGGAGGAAAATAAAATAAGGGGAGAGGGAAGCATCTACCAACTACATCAGGTAGTTCTCTTGACGCAACAGGGTGATTATGAGCTTCTAGATGAATGGGCAGAGGCTGCTTAATATCCAGACTTTCTCAGGTAGTCAGCCATGATAAATGCTTTCTTGTTGAGCTGCCCTCCATGGATACCATCCTTTCCCATGACTAAAACCAACGCTGGAGCACACAAGAAAAACAAAAGAACAAACTTCAGAAAGGAGACAAAAAAGAATAGCATTCCCCACTACCATAAAGACACATCAATGACTTTCACCCCAGAACCATCTGTTGGCTATTAATGTTAAGACGTTAATGTGACTTTGACAGGGAAATGTAACAGCAGTTTTTTTCCTCCTTAGTTTTTAAATTTTTTTTTTTTTTTAATTTTTTTTAATTTTTTTTTTTTTTTAAACCAAGCCTGACTAAACTAGAACCCAGAATCCCTTAAGTATTTTGCCATTGAATATGCCTTCTTATTCAATCCGCCTCCGTGGACCCCCTCCTTGCCCATTACAAGAACCAAGACTGGAAGAAAAGAAGAAAGGGAAGTTTAGAGAAAATGCAGATAGTTAGTGCAAAGGTTAAGACAGCAAGACTTTAAAGGCTTAGAATAGTCAGTTGAGATGTGGTTTATAATCACACGGACAGAAAGCGTAACCGAAGCATTCATTTTCATGCCGTCGGCCCAACTCAAGACACCCGACAGTCTTCAAAAATTCAACCTTTACCTAAACTACAATGAATGCCATTAAAAAAAACACAAAGACTCTGCTCTGACTTTCTTAGTCAACTTCCCATCTTCATCATTCCGTTTTTATATGCAAATTAAAAAAAAAACTGACTTTGTAATTCCTCAGGCTTATCATAGACCAGATGATGCTTTATACTGAAGCATATTGGAAACTATTTAACAAAAACATGTATTTAAACTTCCAAGCAGATAGCGGGGAAAAAAAAAAAACCTTAAATACCATATTACATTTCTCTGTTCCCAGAGAAAGCTGCTCTGGGTGTGCCACATGATTGTTTTAGAGACACTGGTTGGCTTCTTCTCCCATGTAACTCACAGACTTGTGCCATTTCCCCAGAGCCACCCACTGGAACTATCCTGCTCATCCAAAACTACAGTGAGCAGTGAAATTTAAGTGCCCCTTTCAAAACACTACTTCGCAAGTAATACACCACAACGAAATCTGCTTGTTGATGGGGTATAAAATGTTCAGTTATGAGAATCTGATATGGAAATGAATTTACCCAACACTCTACAGAGTGGTACACTAGGTCTGTAAACTACCCATACAAAAATTTTCAAGAGTCACTACCAATTCACTTTATCAAATGAATAGAGCAACTGACCCAATAAGCATAATCCAATATAATGGATACATTTTGGTTTTCCATTTTAAAGATTGCCAAGATACGTACCAATCGCCCTTTGCTATCAAACAGTATCGAGGAATGAAACCAACTGCGAGTCCACTTTACAAAGGTGTTCCCACCAATTTTCCAGAATCTCTAAAAGGGTCCCAATTAATATAGAGATGAGGCTCCTCTTTGACATGAAACGGGCTGCAACCAGCTCTGGTTACATATTGCAGGCATTCAGCATAACTGCATTCTTTGCTTTTCAAGCTATAACTGAGAAAGGCTCATTCCCGGTACAGGTTCAGTAGGGGGACACATGTGTTAGTTTGTTATTTAGGATTACAGTTTTAGAAGTGGTGAACACTCAGTTATGTTGACTGAATATTAGAACAAAGACTTGAATGTTTAAATCAAGCGAATCAATTAGGGCCTGCAACAAGAAAGTGAATGCTTCCGTCAGACAAACATTTCCCAAATATGCATTTTTTTTTTTTTTTTTACAGTACATGTCCAATATCTGGCTAACACTTACCCATTGATGTAAGAAAAACACAGGTAGAAAACTCATGACAATTACCACTGCAAATCATGCAGCATTTACATCATCGTTTTCCAGATGTGTTTAAATTACACTGTGAATATTATGCAAAAAGTAAACTGGCATCATGGAATTTTAATACTGATCATCCAATACAAAAAAGTACGTGACATCCTTCAGGTGGAGGATTAAAAATGACAAACCAATTTAAAAAGGTTTGTGTTTAATCTGGCAGCCAATGCACAGAGGAAAAGCAATTTTCAGTCGTGTACATCTATCAGTCAAAAATAAGCAAGGAGAAAATTAGGTTACCTTTGCCAGCTCTGCCTACAGAAATATTATACGTAGCCTCGCCGCTGTGACTCTTTGTCCTGATGTCCATTGTCCAGTCACCATCAACTAGAAGGCTGTCTCTGATCACGGAGCACTTCTTGTGACCTAAAGTCAATCCATTGGTGAAGAAACTCTCTCGGTCCTTTCCTACTATGACGTCAATTTCTTGAGCCTTAAAACAGAGAGAGAAACAGGACATTACTCTCCCACAGGAATTATTTAAAAGCACAAATATGGCAGCAAACGATGCCCCTTACTATCTGCATGCCTCTCCAGCAAACAGCAAGATATGAAAGAAAAAATAGCAACATGCTGTGATCAACATTTAAGATTCTAGAGTGTTTCCTTGCTTTGCATTCGCCATGTAGCCATGAATGTAAAGTGCAAAGCGTTTCTATTCTATACAATTTGCTTGCCTTTGTTTTTGGTCTACAAAATAAACACACACTGAAATGACATTGAGCACTCAAAACTGCAAGGCGACAGCAAACTTTCGAAGAATGACATCTGGCGGCTAGCTAGCCAACTTAAAAAAAAATCCTTTTCCCAAGTGCTGATTTTACACTGTGAGAACTAGCCAGCTAATGGCTACCAATGCTCAGAATAGCCTTGTCAACAACCTTAATAAATCCTGAAGTTTAAACCACTATGTCTAAAGTCAAAAACAAATAAAATAGTACACATTCAATTAATACCATAAAACAAACATTCACTTGGTGACCTATCATGGAATATTTGTAGGAATTCATTCACAGCCACAATCTCACCGGATTGGCTCCTGTCAGTATGATGACAGCAGAATGTTATATACCTAGGTACCTTGTCATTCAATTCTTTACCTTCATTTCCCCCCCCCCCCAAAGGATAAACCATAAAAAGGATAAAACATACCCAGCATCATTTTCATCTAATAAATACACAAAAATACAAAGATCTACTACAAAATCGGGGCTTTGAGCCAGTACAGAATGTATAGCCAAAACATGAACTGGCCACACAAAGTCAAAGTTCAGGAATCTCGTTTATTCCTGGAAAAGGAATGAACTCAAGGGAGTTGTTTCTAAAGAGGGGGAACACACAGTAAATTTATGCACACTTTTCAAACAAGTAGTTAAAAGATACAAAGAACATGATCAATTGTAGTTTATTGCTGGATGGAGATTATAT